TAAGGAAGTATATACGGACAATCAAATTCCTCCTTGTATTCTCCTCCACGTGAATATCAAAGCTTCAAATGAAGATAAACCAAGTATCCACACTCGTTTAAAATAGCTTGTCAACCTCGTGGTCCTATGCCAATTTGTAGACACATTCTTGTACCAATATCATACTCCCAAAGTCCTGATAACACCTGGCGTTCTAACTTTTTCCTTCTCCCACTAATCCAATTATTATGGATAACAAAACACCCCCTCTTCATACAGGTTTCACTGACATTTCTTTCCTCCCACAGATTTTGGTATGCACCATTTGGAAAAGATCTCTATCCAAGAAATGAACAGTCATATTTGTTTCCGGTTCTAAGCATCTGTCATCACCTAGACGATGGAAACCACCTTCACCACATAGGTGTCATAGAAGCTAGGTTGCTCTGAGAGATTAGAAGTTGATGCATGTTGCACGACTTTCTGCAATGCTGCAATTGTTGTATCATCTGACTGAACGTAATAGAAACCAGAGTTGAGGCGTCGTGGTAAGTTAATTGGTCCTGCAAGCATGAGCATGAAATCATAACTTAAAAACATAAATAAGATTTTCCCAGACTGTCACGTTGGAGGTCAATGCCTTATTTCATATCAAAATACAGAAAAATGAGAGACTCGCATAATAAGGAAGTTTTACATTCCATCACTTGTATTTTATGAGTAAGATAGCAAATCTATTATGAGGGGCTATTAGGACAAATCTGAAGCTTAGGGAGTTTTCATAGCGCAGGAGTAGAGCTTTTGAAGTTATTACCTGTTATGTTATACTCATCGGACTGTGCGACCAGAGTTGCACGACCAAAGGAACTAAGCAAAGGCAAGGGGTTTTTGAACCAATACACATCAACATCACTCAATAGTACATTATAACCCAGCTTTAATATCTGCAAGACCATCCTTGACTTGACTTTGGTTACTTTCTGAAAGCATTCTGTTCCAAAATGGCAGTCGTCAAAACTGACATTTGCTGGAATATCTGCATACTCAAGAACTGGTATGCCCTAGAAGCATGCAATAAATTCCTTCAGGTTTATCAGAACATGGAGAAATGCAGGAACTAAACAGATGGATAACAACAACAGTTTGAGATGATATGCATACACACCAAACTTGATGATGGTCATTTCAATTCCTCCTAAACTTAAAAATAGAACCAGACATTCAATCACACAAATAATAGAGAAGCATGTCACCTGCAGAACCGCAAACTCATAAATTTCATGGTCAATAGCACAGACCAAAAAGTTTGAAATCTGGAGGTGGCGTAGTCTGCAGACCCAGCTCATTAGCATGTCCTTATAACTATATCCAGCAACCGCTAGCACAATTGTTTTATTCTGGTCTGCACGCATTGAAAGAAGTTGTTCTAAGGAGAATGGAAGAGAAATTATGTCAGAACTCTGCAGCTGGTCCTTCTGAGAACAGTTTTCAACCCCTTGACGTGACTTCATTACATTAAGACAATTCAGAATTTTCTTTTCTGTTAATGGTCCAGAAATACCTTGATTTCGTAAACTAAATGATACGGGTCTCCCAGAGAAAAAGCAACATCTTGTTCTGCGTTTATCAAAGATAGTTCCCACCACATTTAGAAATTCTAAACAAGTTTGAATAATTAGCTTCGTGAAAAGAAAATGACCCATAAAGCTTCCCCACGTGAATGTTTCCCATGAACTCCCAATTCCTCTTTTCAATATCTGAATGGTTGGAAGCTTCCATTAATTCATAGTACACGTGGTTTATATCATTCACATAGGTATTTGAAAAGGTCCAAGTGGCATCAATAATCAACCTATAATCGACGACAAGGCTTCAGTTAATAACCAGTGATGGTGAATCCCCTTTCTGTACAAAAAAGGAGGCAAGACTCCATTATGCAGCGGAAGATTGCAATTGTTCCATGCCATTAGCATTCTTCTTTCACACAATTCCCTCTGCAATTTCTGAGCCAAAAACCCTGCAAGGAAGAGTACAAATTTACTGTGAATTCTCTTATGGTCCATGAAGTCTGAATCTGTGACAGCTTGCTTTATACCGTTTGGCTTGTTAGTTTCTTCCTGTCATCGGCTACTGACTTCTTCCAGTCCGCACCCCAGCGAACTGGAGAGTAGGACAAGTTTTGTGATGAAGCAATAAGTAACCAGTCGTGATCAAGTTTGTGAGCAAATCTCAAAGTGGAAATGAAATCAGGAAAGAGAATTAGTTCTGGATCAATCAGCACAGAAACATCTGAGTTCGATGCCTGTGCTTTGGCCACCATTGAATGAAAAACGGCGTCCCAAGGAACCTACAAAAATGAGAATTTTCATCAGCTGCACAGTGTCGCGTCAGTAATTATCTGTAGCAAACTAACCAGAAACTTGTCGGATCCCACTCTTTTGGTCAGAACACATGCAATCCTGTTCGCGCAAGGCTTCTACCAACAACAATTCTAGAAATGAAGATTCATTAGAAAGTGTAGGGATTGTACTAGGTAGAGTGGCATCATAAGAGCTTATTAGTGTTGTCTATTGTATAACAAGCGAAACTACTAATGCCTAGAAAATGTCGACACTTGGATGTATTATAATTTATACGAAAAGACAATAGCAAAAATCACTGGACAGTTTAAATCATCGAGTCTACAACGTCGGACTTTATAAATTTACAATTAATCAAGTACATAGCTTTCGAGACTTACGTGAAATCGATATTGGGCTCAACTGATACCCTGGAACCAAAGGCTGTTGCAAAAGAGACAGCAGAAGGATCTTGGCTAAAGAGCACAACGTCAATATCAGGTGATAGACCTAGCCATGATCTGATAGCGAGACCCTGTCTTTCTCCAAATGAACCCTCAAAAGGTCTTGGTGCAGCAAATATGGTGATCGGGACCAGAAGAATCACTAAATCCATTGCCAAAAAGCTTTGGCTTCCTGAACTGATCCTTAACAGAAAAAGACAACATCTGAGTAGCATAAAAGCTAACACCTATCAAGAAAATCCCAAGCAGCCAAACCAACCATATCCAAGAGCCAGTCTCTGCCAATCAAAATCAGTCCACTTAAGCCAGAAAAGACAATTGAATCAAAACTAACAAAATATATGAGCAAAGTGATGCTCAATAGGATGCAACAGTATGAAACCAGACCTTAAAAAAGGGAAAGAAAAGGGGCTGTAGAGCTGCATTGCTGCTGTTTTTGTTTTGGTTTCTGAATTGCAGAACATACTGGATCAAGGCCCGATGGGTTTGACTTAACTTGGAGGCAGATTTTAAGAGAAAGAAGGCAACTTTAACGGATGCAAGAAGTTGAGGAATGTGAAATGGCACTGCCTCCACTCACGGGGATTAGCAAGAAGGCCGCCGAGCCAAGTGGGCTTGTGCAAGGCATGTGATGTAATATCACCATTTTCACGCTTCACAAATCACAATGAAGTTTTTTTCAACAATAGTTTTGTGCAGCTGGAACTGCCTTTTTACGTCGGAAAAGGAGCGGGGTTTAGGACTTAAAAAATGGTGGAGGAGAACCTAAAGCTAGAAAGGTCAGCTGTCTTTTCATATAAAAGTCAAATGCTGCCTTGCCCAACCCAAACATCTGCTGGTCCCAAATTCCTGAACTCTGTTTCGGAGTTTATTTTCATTAATTATTTCAGAAATCTATTGGTTCCTTTGCTATTGCGTCTTTAGAAGCATTTATACAACAAAATAATAGTGTTATAACTATTCTTAAATAAAATTATCAAGTGGTAGGACAAAATGTGGTAAAAAATATAAACAGCTTAATTAAAGATGCATTCAGAATAATTTTTTGATTATTTTTAATTTCACGTATATCACATTATAAAAGATATTACAGTAATTATTTCAAATAATATTTTAAATAATACTGCATTCAAACATACCCGTACTTTTTCAAATTCCAATTACTCTCTCAATCTTTAGATCTCTGAGATGCTAAATTCAATTTATCGTATTACTCTCTTTTTCCTTTCAACAGGTCTAACAACTATACTTCTTAGTCCTGCTTGTATCCATGGCGATGTTTGGTTTATAAGCTTCTATCACCGCGAAGTCATATTCTAGTAAATTACACTTAAAATTTGGAGGGGAATGGATTGGGTGATTTAAGAGAAGAAAGTGTACGTGAGAGATGTCGAATTCGAGTTCTTTCACCTATACTAAAATATATATATATACACACACATACTTACGGTGTATTTGTTTGGATTGAAAATATTTTCTGGAAATCATTTTCAACAATTTCCGGTGTTTGGTTGCTTTAGAGTTGGTGAAAATACTTTCCATAGCAAAAAATTTTCCTAAGGTCAGTGTAAAATAACTTCCCTAAACGAGCTAATAAAGTTGGTTTTCGGATGATTGTGATTGAAACTCTCAACAAAAGAACATTACTTTCAAAGAAGATGAAAGATTCAAAAGCTCGTCAGGAAATTTACTAGTGAACTTACTTATGATTCTATTTTCGGCAACTTTTTCCGAGCAATTTTAAATACAATTTTCTCTGTCCAGACAACTTTAAGATCTTTTTCTTTCTTCATTCGAATCGTTTTTGTTTCTCCTTTTCTTCTGGAACTCCAATATCTTTGTGTCAAATTGCCTTGACCTTTATATGAAAATTGGATTTGGAGTTTATGGATCATATTCTAGCGATCGGTGAGATCACATTTTCCTCACCTCCCAATCAAGGAATTCTCCTAAGTCGACTATGGATCTGCTACTCGATCTCAGGTGGTAAGAAGATGGATTTCCACGGGTTAAGGGTTTGTCAGCTTGAGGTGGCTATGTAGTAGTTGGCAAAGAACAGTGGTGGTGGTAATTAGTCATAACCGTTTTGAGGGTAGGAACAAAGCTGCAAAATTGCAACCAAACACCAGAAAATTATGAAAACGCAAATCTTTTCCTAGAAAATAATTTCAAGTGAAAATATTTTCATCATGAAAATGCTTTACATCGAAACAAACGGAGCCTTAAAATCGTTCTCTGACATTCATTAATCACATAAGCATCACCTCTTGTTCCCACATTTTGGCACGGCCTTTTGTTTCTAGTTCTTCCCTTGCCTTTCTAAGCAGATATTGATTTCATTGATCCCGCTCGTCTACATCGTAGGCAAACGATTCGTGAGCTATAGAAAATTTCCACCAGCTGGTACAGGCAAGCAGCAGTTCCATCTTTAATCATTTTAACTTGTTCCTTTTCTGGCTGAAAGTTGTTCGGTCTTTACCAACCCTTTGGTGTTTACAAAGAATCTACTTCTTTGATGAATACTACAATGCCAGAATTCGTTGACTTGAGTTTATCCAATTGTAGGACAAAAGGGAAAAGAAATCATCCCATGGTTTGTCGTCGAAACTAGGAGCTGGCATAATTACATTGAAGATGATCCAAATGCAGCGCTACATATTGCCTCTGTAACTACTACTTACAAGCAAAACCGGAAAGACCTTGGGATGATATAACAAACCAGTCTCCAATATTTGCATTAACAAGAACGAAAATATCTGGTTACAAGGATCTTTAGGCACAAACTTTCTGATTCGGGAATCTTGCATCTCCATCCAATCTTGGGTATCATCTTTTCCGACGACTAGGCGACCTTGACCTTGATCTTGACCTTCTCCCCCTAAAATTGCAAAAGATCAATTCATATGCTACAAAAATTCACGACTTCAAGATAGATGTTCTTTCACCTTAGTTGCAGATGGATGGTTATATTCAAATAATTGAAACTTTAATTAGATATGTCCAACAACATACCTGGAACTCTCAAGAGAAGAGTAAGGAGAATGCCTGCGCTGAGAGTGCTTGCTATGAGGAGACCGCGAAACTTGTCTATAAATGAAACATTGCATACTAATAGAGTTAAAATATAACTTTTGAACACGATTTCTCGGCCTTTAACACATTATGCTTTAAATGATAGGCCTGTTCGCAAACTTATTGTGGTCCTGAAAAATAATTGTTTCAATATTTGCCAAAAAGCACTCAAGGTCAAGGAGTTAAGCTACAAGCTTTATTAAAGCAAAACCATCATCTGGACGAGTTTCACTCACAGTGCCTCCTAAACAAATAATCATAGCCAATATGATACCTCATTCTTCTGATGATAGCAAGCTTTAGAGAATTGAATGTCAAATGTCAAACAAATAGTATCACAAAGATTTTAAGAGAGAAATTAGTTTCTTCTCAACCATATTTATCAAGAATCACAGGCAAAAGCCTCAGCAAGTTCCAAAGCACGTTCCGAAAAGAGAAGCTACATAAAATAGTCATTCTTGACTTATTGCAATAATCAACATTTGCAAAATGCACAAGCAAATGGGTAAATTTAAAAAAGGAAAACAAGACGCCTCTTTCACATGCTCTACAGAAAGCCAACAGGCCAAGAAACCTATTTCTGGTGTGACATAAAGATCACTGAATCCCGAAGACACAGTCTATGCGACATCACTGATCCTTTCCAACCCTTAACCTGTAGAGGTTAAAGAAATATTGCAAACCAGAACACAATTACCAAACAGCTCCTGGCTTGCACAAAGTAGGACGAGAAAATACAGCAAATCACTAACAATGCTGTTTATGTAATCAGCATCTGAACTGTAAATTGCGTGCTCTCAATATTACCAGTTGCTTAGTTTTTTTTTTTTTTTTTTTTTGTGGTGAGGGGTGAGGGGAGAGAAGAAATCAAATTATTTCAGGCAGGATTTGAAAATTTATCTACATCCAGCATTAGTAAGTTAGTACATTAAGAGTATTTCCATCTTGAGTCATATTCCCATGTGATTCATATATCTGATTATACGCTCTTGTATCTATGTCAAGTTATCCAGCAGTCAGCCTGAAGCAAAATCTGTTCTATGCAGATTAATACCTGATTGTTATCAATTACAGTTGTCAAAGAATAGAAGATGGGTAATACAATGAACTAATCAATCAATTATTAATAGACAAAATCAGATGAGGAAAGATCAGCAACAGAAAAAACAAACTAAATATACCCATAAATAGTAATAATACACCTCACATAAGGTGACAGAAACTTCAGAAGTTTGCGGAAAGCCATAGGCAATTCATACAGAAAAACACAAGAAACAAGAAAGCCCATATTGCTCATACAATAACTTATGCTTTTAATTCTTCTTAAAACTTGGACAATATTTGGAAACAAATAAGAGAACCTACAAGCATAAGAGCATGAAGCATAATATTCTTAAAGCCAACTGTCAGAAAAAGGCACTACAAGTAAGTTATATTAACAAGGGCCTTTAAATACAGCACTTCACGTATCATATACAGCTTCACAATTTTGCATGTTAAAGTCAATTCAACCCTTTTCTTTGGAGTATTAATCCTAAACAGCATCATGGTCTTGCATGAAAAAAAAGAGAGACCACAACAGTAAGAATAACAAGAGTGTTCCCAGATTATTGGGAGACTAAGATAAATACCTTTTCCTCGACCTGACAGGAGATGGCGATTTACGTCTCCTTGAGTGCATCTTTCTGCAGGCCAAAAGAAAATATAAGCAATTCTTTTGTCCTTCAGATGATAAGTTGAATGAAAAATAAAAATGATCAACAACTATTGAACTGAAATACGAACTTTTTAGAATTATCTGATGATACATCACTTGAATCATAAGCATGGCCAACAACCAATCCACCTCTGTTGTCTCGATCCCTACCAGTGATGGAAGGCGAATGGTGTCTCTTATGTCTGCTAGATTCATTTGAGTTTCTACGACTAGATTTTTCTCTTCTATCATCCTCAGTTCTTTCCCTTTTCCTATCATTTTCTTCTTTACCACTTGATCTTCTGTCTGCATGCCTCTCCTTCTTACCCTCCTTGTCATAATCAGGAGAGGCCCTTTTTCTTGAATCAGTATCCTTTGCTTTTTCTGAAGGTTTAACAACTCTTTCTTTTAAACCATTTTGATCATCCCTCCTTTCCTTTTTCAAGTGCCTCTGATCACGCCTACTATTTGTTCCCTCTTTCTCATATGCACTCTCCTTGTCAATTTCTAACTCTCTGACAATTTTCCAACCGCATTTCTTTCTTGTTCACATCTATCATTTTTATCTAACTTGTCTCTAGTTTCTTCACCCGAAGAATCACCCATCAGTGACCTTTTGGAGCTGTCATTTTCAACGATGTTTTCACTTTGACCAGCTACCTTTGCAGCTAGTGTGTTCATAATCTTAGAAGCAATGACACCATCCAGCACTTCACGCTCAGCCACTGAATCGGATAGTTTCGCTGCCTCTGCATCCTTTAATCCAAAAAATGCAGCATTATGATTTACTGTGGTAGCATTTTGACTATTACTACTGAGATCAGAATCTGAATTGCCACGCTCTTTATTTTCTTCCTGTGAACCACCATTATGAAGCGCATCTGTGCCTTTCGATAACTTGCTTGATGTTGACTGATGCTTCACACTATCTTCCTTTATACTTTGTTTACCAAAACTCTCAGTTTCATTGTCCTCATCATCTGAGGCATAACTAGCAAGACCGAGCAAATCCCACCAGAGACAGAACTAGACTTTTCACCAGCATCATAATAATTAGTATCCTTAGTTTTCAATGGTTGGAGAACATTCGACGGGCTCTGGAAGTTGCAATGATTGGTCTAGAAGTCTGTGCTTTATCATCCTGATTGGAAACACCATCCTCAACTAAAAAAAATAGAAATAATAATCTGAGTAAGCATGGACAGAAATCCAATTAATACTTTGGATACAATCAAGGTAAAAATGCAATAGGAAAGGAAAAAGATACAGGAAACTCAAAAAAAGGATTTGTGTGTGTGTGTGTCTGTGCATAATTTATGCACAAAAACCACCTTCAACCGTGGGATCATCTTCATTAAGAACTTTCGTAGCAATTTCATCAAAAAGTTCATCAGTAACCTATCAAGATAACACACAGTCAAAACCTGAGTGAATAAGAACAAAAACTTATCAGTTATTCCAAGTGCAACCTTTAAAAGAACTTCAGTCAAAACGCGTTTTATCTCCTGATTTATTGCGGCAGTTCTTGCTGCTTCCACATCGTCCTAAACAACAATAGGCACCATATCAGTACAACAATGACCCACGAAGAATAAAGAAACTATGACATGAAACAGAAAATTGTTATTTTACAAAGGGGCTAAGGAAGGAGGGAAAGAAGTCATCAGCCCAGAAGCATGCCTGAAAATACTTAAATTATAGGGGAAGTTGTAGGTACTTATCCATAGCTACTCTATCAAGCTATTGAACAAACTAAATATTTTCTACAAGAAAGATGCAAACTAAAGCTAAATTATCAAAACAGTAAACCATCAACATGCTCTTCAGAGATCGGAAAGAGCCAGTTAAAGCAAGGCACACTTTGAAATCTTAAATCACTTCAAGATTTTAAAAACAAAAACAAAAAATAAAAATACTTCAAAATGAATGTTTTCTTCGATCGATTGATAGAAATATTCCAGACCCTTTCCTAAATGTGTCATCAAATTTTTCCAAAGTTCAAAAGTTGACTTGTTTGATGTTTTATTCAGAAAGATTCAAAAGGTAATCTTTTCCACAGCCCAGAGTAACAAGAATTGAAGGAGGAAAAACGTTCAACAGTGAGAATATTCCCCTTTTTCATGACTAGCTGTATATATTTAAAATGATACATTAAAAAAAATCAGATAACCTCGTCATCATCCTCATCCTCAGTTGACCTAGGAGAGTCTATGCTTTTGCTATCCCCTGATCACCCTTTCCATAAGATTTATCCACAGCTTCATCTTCAATTGATTCAATATCCTCTTTTGGAAGCTCTACAGCCGAACTCACAATTGCAGGTTTCTTCTTTATTATTTCCTCTCGAAGCCAGTTGGGCACTGAAGCCTGAAAATATCAAAAAATGCAAGTCTATATGCAATGATCTGACTGTAAAAACCATATTTAGATGCTTATACAGGTAAGTACCTTTTTAGGGCGCTCAGAAACAATGGAAGGCCCAAAAGCATCAGCAGAAAAAAGTTGTCCCAGGATGCATATCAGGCCCTGCTCCAATTCCAAAGGGAGCAGTAACAGATGACACTGTTGGCTGGAAGCTTGGTCCGAGCATCCTTCCAAATATTGGTGCAGAATGCCCAGAAGCTGGAGGAGGTACTGGCACCGAAGGGTCAACCTACCAATATAAAACGCCATTAAGAGAGCTGAATATTATTGCAAGATAAACATAATAAGCAGGATAAGAACAACCACCTGAGTCCTGATGGGAGTACTGCAGGAACTGAAGGATAAACCACTGCTGGCTCGGTTGGAGGGACAAAATTATAGTCTAGAGCATTGGTTGCAACAGTGTCTATGACTCTTGTGGGGTCCCCTGATTAGAAAAGATAACAATCAGCAAGCACGCAAAACATCAGGCATTTCCACCTTGGACAACCTAGAGAACTTTGCCTGAAAAAAAAAACCTTACACAAACTTGGAGAATCAAAGAGCTAAATACTTCCGTCTTTAATTTCCTTGAACGTGCATATACTAGTCTACCTTATGTCTTAAGCAGTTATACCATTGGCTACCAAGAAACTGCAAATTGAGAGTTCAATTTTCAATTTTCTTCACTTGTTTTTCGCTCCTTCAATCGCTTATCATTCACACCACTTTTCTTTACCATTTTCAATCCGTTGCACCATCAAAGAACAATATGATCAAAAGTTATATGCTTCAATGAACCATGGAAGTCTAGGAGAAAATGTATCCGTATAATTAAAGAAGATTGATGTCCATGTAAGTCATAAACTAAAAACTCAAATAAAGAAATGAAGATTGTCAGAAGCATTATGCATGTATGCTACTAGTAAAGCCAACACACATAGAAGCAATTCTCAAATTAGAAGCTTCATGTGCAAAAGCAGTGTGTTAATTGTTCTTTTACCTGCAATAGAAGAATAACTAGAAGGTACCTCCTGCTGATGGACCGATGGACTTATAGAAGAATCTCGTCCAGGAAACACAGCAGCCGAATCTCCAGTTCCATCTTGAAAAGCATATGGTAACTGCTGAGGCTGCTGGTTGTCTGATGCAGCTTTAGCAGCTGCCCATGCCCGGGCCTTGGCAGCCCAAACTTCTTCATTTGTATGAGCTACAATTTGAGAAATACAATGTATCACATCATATCATTATGACAGGTAAACTGCAGGCCAAAACAGCCAAGCATTTCATTTATTACTTTTATTTGAAAGGGAAGAGGAATTATGACATCTTTGTTGAATTCAGATTAATACGGCAATTAAGAGCCACAGGATCCAAAAATCACCCTTAAATCTAGTACAATTCAAGCTTCATTAAAAATTTTAAACTGGCAATGTACATCAGAACCAACAACTTTTCTACAGTAGCTAAATAAAAAGTGAAGGAGCCTCGCCTAGCATGTCCAACACCAACATGGCAAGTATAAAATAAATAGACCATGCAGACAAACATGTTTTCATCTTTTTCAGTCAATTGTTAACAGACAAGTTAAACGGGATAATGTGACAAAAGACCAGAGGCAAGAAGCCAATCAATATGAAAATAAATAACAGATGTTTGCTTACCTTGATACTCCCAACTTTGATGATGACCCCAATTAGCAGTCCCCCACTCCTACAAGCACATAGAACATTGTAATAGATGTATAATCTATAACACCTGTAAATAATTCACCAAAACTACATAATAGTAGATGGATTATATAATCAGTAACTAAAAATGAATAGCAACAATCCACAACTACAGCAAGCCAAGCTCTCTGTCCACCTAATGGTCTTTTGCTTACAAAAGTAAAGCTCTAAAAAGAAAAGGCACCATTGCATTTTCCTTGCATGCAAATGTATCAGAACAAACTGTACTTTCCCTCAATGGATATTAAATTCATTTTACTGGCTACAGAACAGTATAGACCGAAATCCCTCAAATTCTAGAAGAAATTTCAAATTCCATTTAAGAACCACTCAATATGAGGAACAGAAAAATGCTAGCATTGAAAACTATCAAGTACTTGATTTTACGATAAAAAAGGAATTCAATTTTAAAGAGGCAACCACATGGAGTACAGTTGAACAAGAAAGGTGCATAATATCATTTCCTTTATGATTCTAAATTTTAAAATTACAACAAAAACAATAACAATAACTTTTAACTTCAACAACAACAACAACAACAATACTAATAATAACAATAATGATGATGATGACGATGATAGTGGTGGTGGTGATGATGCTATGACTAGATTCACATGTTTTCCCTCATTTGGGAAAAGAAAGGAAACCAATGCCCTTTCTTATACTGTTATACACATCTTAAGCCAATCCCTAGTTTATATGGAGAATTTGAATGCAGGAAAACCTTGGCAAAATAGGAACTCATATTAGCTGATTTCCATCTTTTACTTATTTGTGAACCATGTTCAAATTCTTCCAAATCATCCTCATTTTCTTTTTCTCACAGAAACTTTTCTAATCACATTGTTATCCTTTATCACTTAATGCTGCCACTTCCTCCGAACCACCACGAAGGTATATTTGCTCATATAAGTTCCTCCTTCACCCATTCTAAGCTCCTGTATAACAACTAAATGGAAAAATCAATCACTAAGTGGAATAATCTCATTTTCCCCCCTTTTTACACCAACTGCCTGATAAACGTAATGAATCTAGCCTGCTTCCAACTTCTGAACTTGTTAATCACAGAAATGGAGAGAGTGTAGCGCATGAATTTGGTCATAAGCCAAAAGACATTACTAGTGCTCCATTTCCTGTGTTCAGATTAAAAATAACCGAGATGATTATTTATCACACTTTAATCCCCTTATATATTTACTCATCCTCCGTACAATGAATCAACAAAAGAAAAATACAGCTACGGCTAAAACAACACACACCCCACCTGTCAAAGATTGGGGAAAAAGAAAAGAAATGTAAAGCTATACATTATGGATTGAAGGAATACCTGATTGACCTGGGAATACGACTGGGGAATCTGAGGCGGTGGAACATGCGGCCGAGGCGGAAGAGAAGCATGCGGATGAGGAACCGGAGGAGGGTATTGGTTGACTGGAAGCGGATGTGGCGTAGGATAAGGAGGAGGGGGAGCCAAATGCTCGGAATGTGGTGGTGGCGGCGGTGGTGGCCACTGCTGATGCGGCGGCGGGACATGAGAAGGAGGAGGAGGAAGTGGTGGTTGTGGCGGAGGAGTAGAGTGCTGGTACTGAAATTGAGTCGAGTACCAAGGGTTAGGTGGAGGAACCGGCAATCTCTGCGCTTGGTGGTGGGTTGGTGATGGTGGTAGGGATCTGCTGCCATCGACGGCGGCGGTTGCGGAGGTCTCATATACCCATGAGGCTGCTGAAAATCCATTCCTAATATTTCGATTTCTGTTCTTTTAGGGTTTAGGGCTTTTAAGGCT